AAATCTAAGTTTGCCCTCATTGAGGGGTAGTATTTTAATATGAGTAGGTAAATGAGAGTACCCTAAACATTTTTTTTTAAGAAGAAAAGAAAGCACTGAGGAAGCTCACAGGCAGAACCACCTGCTAGACTGGTTTCAAGGAAGAAGGCAGGCAGGTGGGGCCTGGTAGAGAACAGACTGTGGATGCTGGGGCAGTGCCCCATTCACTCTCATGGACCAGCCTCCACTCTCCCCTTTTCACTTCAAGCCTAACTGCAGTAAGGGACAGAGAAGTTTTGAGTGAGTGAACCCCAAAATGTTCCCAAATGCTCCCTAACACTGAGTTTCAGGTACCTGGTCAAAATTGTTTTGTAACAAGAAGTCTTTCCATCCTTAATGCTTTTCAGATATTTTACTTCCTTTTTTAGATTTTAATTTCTTAAGGTTGTGGGGGCTAAATTGATGTTCTACATTTTTATATTTTATATAGTGTGTTTTATGTTGGTAAGCTGGTTTGAGACCTACACTATACAGTGGCACCTCGGGTTACATACGCTTCAGGTTACATACGCTTCAGGTTACAGACTCTGCTAACCCAGAAATAGTGCTTCAGGTTAAGAACTTTGCTTCAGGATAAGAACAGAAATCATGCTCCGGCGGTGCAGCAGCAGCAGGAAGCCCCATTAGCTAAAGTGGTGCTTCAGGTTAAGAACAGTTTCAGGTTAAGAACGGACCTCCAGAATGAATTAAGTTCTTAACCCGAGGTACCACTGTATAAAAATGTAAAACATCAATTTAAGCCCTCAAAACTCACAACCTCAAGAAATTAAAATCTTTTTTTAAAAAAAAAAAACCTCAGCAGGAATGGTGCCTATCTAACTTCTTACATCTGAAGGCAGCCCTATATAGGGATTTTTTTTCCCCTTTAATGCTTGATGTCTCCCTGTGTTTTGTTGTTGTTGTTGTTGTTGGAAGCTACCCAGAGTGGCTGGGGCAACCCAGTCAGATGGGTGGGGTACAAATTTATTATTATTATTATTATTATTATTATTATTATTATTATTATTTGTATACCCTTCATTTGTAGATCTCAGTTCACAGGATAAAAAATAAAAGACAAAAAAACAAAATACACAATAAAAACAAGAACGAAAACAAAGCAAAACAATACCTCCTAAAGTTGTTCCCACAAGACTGGGATAAAATACATAAACCCTTTAAAACTTGGCATGACAGAATTGCCTACATTTGGCTACAAAAAGCCAATCGAGTAAGTACCACCAAAGTGTTCCTGGGGAGATTATTCCACAACTAGCGTGTCACCATAAAAAAGCCCCACATCCAGCTATGATCCACCACACCTTGGAAAGAGACACCACCTGGAATAGCCCCACATAGGATGCTGCCTCATACCAAGTTGGACCACTAGCCCAGTTTGGTTGGCACTGGCTGGCAGTTGCTCTCCTGAGTTTCAAACGCAGATGTCACGGATGAAACCTGGGATCTTCTGCATGCAAGGGAGGTGCTGTATCCCTGAAATACAACCCCACCCTCTGACACATATATTAAAGAATTATTACAGAACTAACTACAGTTTTTAAATGTGAGAAACTGCCCTTTATTATAGGGAAGAAGGAAAAAATTGAGAACTAGGCAATAGCCTAAGCCTAAATAAGCTTAAGTTCCAATGCATGCCTGCTCAAGGTGTTCATTATTGCACTACTTGCACACCATTTCTTTGCTCTGGTATCTGTTTTTCCCAAGAAATGTAAGCCAGAAATGAGCCTTCTACTCATCAACATTTATTGTATATCAAACAAACAGTGAGCATTGAATCTGGGAAGGATAAATCCAAACTACAAGAAAGAAGATTCCACCTAAACATTAGGAAGAACTTCCTGACAGTAAGAGCTGTTCGACAGTGGAATTTGCTGCCAAGGAGTGTGGTGGAGTCTCCTTCTTTGGAGGTCTTTAAGCAGAGGCTTGACAACCATATGTCAGGAGTGCTCTGATGGTGTTTCCTGCTAGGCAGGGGGTTGGACTCGATGGCCCTTGTGGTCTCTTCCAACTCTATGATTCTATGATTCTATGAAATGTGCCTAATTATCTTAAAAAGACATTGGTGGGGGAGGGAGAGCAGGGAGAATTTGTGTTCTTTGCATGGTTTTGATGCTTGTCTTTCCCTTTGCATGCTTATAAGGTCTTGCCCAGATGGTGAATGAAACCACATGTGCTAATGTAACCAGCAGCAGGCAGGTTCAGTCTCAAATATAATTCAGAATTTAACAGGGAGAAGTCACGGAGACAAGATAAAGTGCCATGTGAATGCAACTAATGCCTTTTCTCTTGAAACTTCATCCTCTTTCATGAAATACTCACCTAGGTGATCCCACCCCACCCTTGTCCACTGCATCAGGCAGTGGACAGGATGCCATCACAATGCAGAACAGGCAGTAATATTTGCCTACCCATTACAATGAGGACAAGTGAGAACTATTGAAAAAGCAACCATTTTTGCATGTACTACTGAAATAATAGTCTAATATTCACTAAGTTATTTCAGAAATACAGGTCCATAAAAGGAATCAGATATGAGACCAGTTTCTACTTAATCTGGATAATGAATCTTGCCAGAAAATTGAGGCAAAACTAGACACTGAAAGTGTTTGAGGAAGAGAAGGTATCCTACTATTTCCCAAACAAGGTGATAGCTAGACTTCTTCACAAAGAGAAGGTTAAAACATAAATCTGTGTTCAATGAACCTGAAATAAAATATGCAGGCAGAACAGTCAGGCTGAGAGTAAATCATTATACTGGATACTAAATTAAGCAATGAGGATGGTTGTGTAAAACCAAACAATCCAACTGGGAGATAAAGCAAACCTGTTTACCTTCAGCACCATGGAATCCTATATTGTTTGTTTGTTTGTTTAATTTGTATACCACCCTTCATCCATAGATCTCAGGGCAAATCACAGCATAAAAATACAAGATAAAACACACAAGATACATGATAAAAACAAGAAGAAAACAAACCAATAGCCTCCTTCCTGCCAGCACCTCCCAGAAACACATTTAAAAGAATATAGGCTTGGCTGAAGAGGACCATTTTCACCTGGCACCTAAAGGTGTATAATGACTTTGTATACGTTATTTTCACTAATATATACATTTATCTGTACACTTTACCCCAATGAATGCTTTTTTGTGCACATTTCTTAGCTGCAGAACTGTACCGCAAAATCCAGAGAAGTGCAAATTTTTAAGAACAGCTGTGCATTATGCATTGTTTCAGAAAAGTGTGAATCAGATAAATTCACCTAGATGTAAACTGAATCTAATCACCTCCCCAATCCCTAGCTTAGCTGTCTCACTTTGCAAGAGCTCCAGTATCAGAATATATTATGGAGGAAAGTTAGGCATCAAACAGCCTATTAAGCAGAGAATTCCCTACACAGGGCAGTCACCACACACCAGAGGTGGGAGGGGAGCAGATGTGGAGGTAGGCCTGTGATGATGATCTCAGTGAATGGGCAGGCTGATGTAGCAGCTGGCATTCCTTTGGGTTACCTGGCACCGCTGCATGCAGGGCTCCAAAGATAAGCACCAGCACACTAGGTTAAATAAGAGGAAGGTCTATAGCTCAGTGGGAGAGCCTTTGCTTGACACATGGAAGACCCCAAATTCAGTCCCTGGCATCTCCAAGTAGGGGTGGAAGAAGCTACTGCCTGAAGCCCTGGAAAGCCACTGCCTATCAGTGTGGATATTACTGTGGTAAATGGGAGAGTACTGGGGGGGAAAGATGTGGTCTTTCAGATATTTGGGGTCTAAGCTGTTTAGGACTTTCAACATCAATGTGAGCACCTTGAATTGGACCAGGAAACAAACTGACAAGCAATTGCTGTTAGCACTCTCTTACTACAGTTATGGCCAAGGCGCCTGCATTGATCCCTTTTAGAATAGGGGGGAAATTACTAATAAAGCAAAAGTTATCCAAATTTAAAATTTACCTCTTACAGCTCTGCCTTGTTGTTATTTATACTGCTATAACTGTTTTCTGTGTAGCACTTGGTACCATTGCCTCAAAGAAAGGCTGCCCTTCCGTTGATTTTTATTTTATTTTTTTGTCTTGAGCAAATGACTTTAAACTGGAAACCAAAAAAGAAACGTGCTTTCAAGCTAACTGATGGAAATTCATTTTTTTGCTAGTATCCAAGCAACCTGTATAACTTCAGGGAGAAAGGTTAAAGACTAGGGGTGGGGAATTAAATCCTGCTGGCAAGCCAGATCAATTCTCCCTCCTCAAGCCCATGTGGGCCAATTTGACAGGTAGGTGGGGCCACCTACCCTGCCGGTCACCTGAAAGCACAATGACATAGGGAGACTCATTTAAGCAAAGCCACCCTGAACAAAGCTGCATGCAGGTTATAGAAGCCCTGATGGTCTGCTGATTGTCAGAGCTTGTATAGTCCCATGCATGATGCCCCCTTTAGACCAAGCAGTCCCACACTCAGTGAAGGTTGGACCATTCCTGTGAATGGGGCACTGACCCACCTGCCTACCATCTTTCTGACAACAACCAGTTCAGGGGTGTCAGCACTGCCTGTCAGCCTCCTCTTCCTCCTCCTTACTAGTGTTGCCTTTGTATAATTCAACAGGGAGGAGAAGGATGAGGACAAAACTACAGTGAGTTGACTCTGCCTGTCATTGGCTCTGACACCACCTGCTGTTGGTGTCTCTGCCTTTCACCCTACCAGTCCCAATGGGCACCTTTCTGTCCATACCTGATATCATATACCATGTCAAGGGTAAGGCAAGTAAGTGTGGCTTAACCAAAATAGACTGAAGGCCTGGTGATACCTATGGGCTAGAGGTTTCCCATCCTACTTAAAGACACTTCCCACACTTCCTTTTCCTGCTATGCAAAGCTTGCAATAAACAGGAACCATAGAGGTCACATTAAAGATCAGAATTGTGAGCTACCTCAGCATTCCTGCAACTGTGTTTTAGGGATTCTGTTGGATATGCAATATCATCTGAATTGTCTTTGCTATGCAAAAATATTAGGTAGTGACGGTGACTTGGTGTTTTCATCAATAAAATACCTGATACTGTTTTTGTACTCAGAGTCCAATGTTGTGAACTCTAACAGAATTACATTTGCATCTGAATTGCTCAGAGAAAAGGCTATAGCTCATCTGCCTTGTATGCAGAGGCACACCTCTGGGTGGGGACAAGAAAGACTCCCTGCTTGAGACCCTGGAGAGCTGCTGCCAGTCAGTGTAGGCAATACTGAGTTAGGTGCACCATTGATCTGACTCAGTATAGCACAGCTTCCTATGACATTTTCAGACCATGAGCGCTGTGATCTGAATACAGTATGTGCAGTTCAAACCTAATGATACACACAATTTAGCAAGTACACTATTAGCTGATTCAGTTCATAATGTCAGCTTGGCACACATGCACGCACACATCAGTTGTATCCAAGGGCTACTGTTAAAAAAATGAGCTCCTCTGAAGGAATGGATAATGACGATGATTTAAAAATTAACATTTTTTAAATCACTGAGGTTAATAAATTGGCAGGTTATTCCCAAAGGAGAAATGGAATATGTTTGCAAATTTTATTCCCTGGGAAGCAGACAGTGCTCCTTGCTGACTGGAATATGCATCCTGATTTCATAGCTTTGGGTGGAGAAATTTCTCTGTAAGTTTTTCCCCCCTTTAGAAAGAGTGTTCCTTTCTCTGAACAAACTCTGTGCACCTGGAATTGTCTTATCACCTGGCATTGCACAATGCTCAAAGATGTTTTGTTTGTTTTTTCACTGGGCTTCTTTCTGGCTAGCCTCTACAATTTCCACTGTAGACTGTCATGCAATTTGTTTGTCACCTTCAGACAAATGAGGATGACATTTCTGTTGCAGGGTGGTAAAAGGTTGGAGCTTGCATAAGCTTGATAAATGTGAAACCAAGGTGACTCTACTTGTAAGCGTTATGTCTTACCATGAAACTGCAAATCCTTCAGGCATGCTTATGTGTCTAGGTTCGCTACATAATCAACTCCTGCTTTGCATTCTGACACCAGGAAAATGTGTGTACTACGAAGAAATGCACAGAAACTGAAAAGAGACATTAATGTGTAGCAGCCCTGTTGGGTTCCTGTCAGACTTGACCATCTACTGGAAGGCAAAATAACTATTTGTATTTTCTTTTAAAATCTCCATGCATTTCCTAACTACTTAGATCCACCTCATCCCTGTTATTAATAATGGAGATCATTATTGGGTCAGTCTCTTTTTATGCTCACAGCTGTTAACAGGCCTTGCAGCTTGGCTGAATTAAATTTGAATAATAACTTACAGTTTTTGGAGTTCAAAGGATTTATTCACGCAGGAACTATTTACAGGGTGAGTAGTGACATGAGAGAAATAGCAAACATCTTGTCTGGAGAGAACAGCAAACAAAATGGCTCAGCTTTTAGGGGTAGAGTTAACTTAGACAAAGAGACATATGAACAAGTGCTGGCTAGATTGCTATACAAACAATGCTCTCGTGTGGTTTAAAGGAACACATGCATTAACTAGAAGCTCAAGAGTAGGAAATGCATTTGCTTAATCCAACAATAAACATAATAAATTTAAAGCAGAGTTCCTTTTCCTATTGCTTACCTGTAATCTGTGTCCTAATGCATTGTCAGTGGGAGAAATTGCCTTACATGGCACCTGGATAAATATTACTTAAACTTCCAAATTACTAGAAGTGGGGTGCTTGCAGCACCATTAACAGGAGTCCAGCCCTGGTTTCTTCTTTAGCTTCTTCATGTAGATTGAATTATTAATCCACTCTAGAAAATGCTGTCCATTAACACACATACAGTTGCACTTTCCTATTTGATAATTTTTATGATTAGTTATATATGAGCAAGAAGATCAGAGGCTTGAGGCTGCAGAAAAGATTCATCTCAATGGCTTTTGCACAATGAAATGAAACATTCCTTTAAGGAGCTGCCCCTCCCATTTGAGCAAAATGCAAATTTGTGGAGGGAAATAAAAGTGGGAGTCATTTTGTTTTGTTTCTTATCGGATTCTTGTTTGCTAGATTTCAAACAACTCCATTTCAAAAATGCTTCTAATTGCAAATCCACACACATTTAGCAAATAACTCTGTTCAATACAACTTTTGAAGTTAATTTGGCTTCCCATTCCCCCCACCTCCACTTTGGAGTTTCCTTTTAATGCTGCACATAAAATCTACCACAAGATGAATACAGGCTCTTTTCATCAGCCCAGCTACAAAGAGGCTAAACTCTTTAATTGCTCTAGATTGGGTCCTATTTTCTCGAATGCAAGTAGAAACCCCATTAAAATCTAACCAGTTACTCCCAATTTGCACTGATGCTAATGAAAGCAGAACTGAGCCTCTGGGGTCCAATTCTGCTCAGTTAACTCTACTGAGTTAAGAGGAACTCCCTTGGAAATGTATGAGATTATGTGAGTTAAACTTGTGGAGGGATTGATGAATAAGAACCCTGGCGAGGTTGGATGTGATCATTTTCTGAACCCTTCAAAGGCCCTGTGTTTCTGTGATTTTCTGAAGTACTGATACCCACTCCTGGTTTCTCAATCCCCTTCCTCAAAAATAAGGCAGGAAAAGAGAAAGAGGGAGGGACAATGAGAACACTTTTGTTGCCCAGTCCAGTGCATAATGGATTCAGATTACATAGGGATGAGAATAGGAAAGGGTGGCTGTGGCACAGTGACAGAGCATCTGTTTTGCATGTAAAAAGTTCCAGGTTCAATGCCTGCCATGTCCAGGTCAGGCTGCCTGTCTGAAAGCAATGGAAGTTACTGCCAGTTGCTCTAGATGCTGCTGAGCTAGATGGATCAGTGGACTTCCTATTTGAGGAAGGGTCATAGCTAAATGGCAGAGCACAAGCTCTGCATTCACAGGGTCAGTCCCTGACATCATGCCCCATGCCTGAAACCCTGGAGAGCTTCTGCCAGTGAGTATAGATTAAGGACTGGAATTGTTTTTGGCTCCACAGGCCAGCTCCTTCTCAGAATCAGCCTTGCAGGCTAAATGTGACAGGTAGGTGGGGTGACGGTCCACCTGTCAATCACATGATGCCATCATGACATCACATGACTCGCAAATGGGTGGTGCCACCCATCTGCCAAAATTCCCTCAGAAGCTTTGCAAAGTGCCCTCTGAAGCACCCTCTTCCTTCCCTTGGAGGGAGCTTATTTCAAGCAGGCCTTTGCTCTGCTTCTCATTTAAGTGAGCAGACAGCAGCAATGGCACTGCTTCCCACTTGCTTAATGATGAAGCACACCTGAGCCCAGAGCGCAGCAGGATCCCTGCTCCACCCAATATCGGCAGATGATATTCCTACATTGCAGGGGGGTAAACTAGATGATGTTCAGGGTCCCTTCCAACTCTACAGATCTATCATTTTGTGAGAGCAATCCTGCCAAGATTGGGGAAAATCAGAGATCTTCCTGCAGGGAGCTTTCTAGCACTCCCAAACTCAGCCAATAGGAGGGCAAAATACTGCTTAGTATTGGACATGAGTGCACAGAGCTCTCCTGCACACCTGAGCCCAGTGCTAAGGAAGATCATTCTTCTTTTGCCTTGGATGATGTGCTGGGAGAGACATCCTGATTAACGCTGATGCCCCATTTTGTGCAGCTGGTTGTTGGGTGCTTAGGGAGTTGCGCAAAGTGGGCTTTGGGCAAGCCCTACACTTTCAACGAAGACCTGCCCTTATCCCCATGACATCTGTTGTATGGTGGGTGGGCATGGCTTGCCCAAAATGTCCTTGCAGCCAAATGGCGAAGCCTGGGAGGTCAAGATTAGCACATAGGTCAGAGGTTCTCAACCATTGGTGGAAATGATACTGAGCCAGAGGGCAGGTGGTCTGATTCGGTAAAGATAAGGGACCCCTGGACTCCAGTCAAAGGTGACTATGGGGTGTGGCACTCATCTTGCTCTTCAAGCCAAGGGAGCCAGTGTTTGTCCACAAACAGCTTTCTGGGTCATGTGGCCAGCATTACTAAATTGCTACTGGTGCATGGAGGACCATGATGAGTGCCAGAGCACACGGAAATGCTGTTGACCTTCCTGCTTCAGCTTTATCACAGGATTGTTGCACAAGGGACCAGGGGCATAGGAAACGGGGACAGGGGGCGGTACGCCCCAGGTGCCATCATGGAGGGGGGTGACAAATTATCAAGGAACAATTACTGCCCTACTAGGGTGGTTCATAATTTTTTTTTTAAAAAAAAATGCCTGCTCCAAAGGTCTTATCTTACTACACTAGGGATTATATAGCTACATATGAAATTTCATGCATATCACTTAATATCTTGACCCTCCTCCACGACAATAGCTATTTACTTGGCTGTTTTCCTATATCATGAAGGCTGAAATTTCAACAAAGCAGGTGCCTTTGCTAGACTCTTTTCGGGCACCTGCTAAAAGCATTCTTCTTTAGGCAAGCATACCTAGATGCTTAAGAAGTTAAAGTAATTTTAATCTTAATATTTTGGCTTTTGTATGTTTTACAGTAGGATTGTTAATTTTTCTTGGTTTTACTGCTGTGGTGTTTTTATGTTTTTTGTTTTGGTAAACCACTTTGCAGGTTTTTTAAAATTAATTTTATTAAATAAACAAACAATAAATATAAATAAAATAACACAAGCCAAAACACAATCCATCCTGTAGATTTAAGTATCTGTCCATAGTCGTCTACTTGTTATCAGAGGCCCAGAATCTGCATTCCTTTGTAAGAAAATATGAAATAACGTAAAACCATTTTTGCAGACAAAAAAAATAATAAAAAAATGGGGGGGTGGCAAGAAATTTTCCGCACCGGGTATCACCTGACCTTCCTACGCCTCTGCGAGGGACTGCTGTGATTTGCAATGCTAATTTGTTTCCATTAGATTAAAAATGAGCTATGTGTTTTGAAATATGAAAAATTAAAATACTGGTGGCCTCTGAGTCGCCTTCCCATGTGAACTGAATTCCCTTTTCATGTAGCTCCCTCCCTTCATTACTCTCTCCCCATCCTCAGGGTTGTAGCCACAGGGGAAGGGCCCTGCTCTTGGGATGTATGTATCTTGGGATATATCCAGCCTGATTAGTTGCTGAGATCAGAAGGCTTGAGGTTGCAGAAAAGATTTATCTTTATGGCAATCAGGAGAAACATTCCCCTAGGAACTGCTTCTCTCCCACCTCTAATTTGACCAAAATACAAATTTGTGGAGGAAAATAAAAAAGAGTGAGTTGAAAGCCTGCAGGCAGGATTCTACCCAATTGCTCACCAAGAAATAATATAATGAAGACTGGAGAAAGTGATAGTTTTCCACTGCTAGATTCAGCTAAGAAATTTGGGGTGTTGTTGAATCTACTGTTCTCTAGGCTCCCTCCTCTCAACAACTTCTTCTGCTCCTGCATCCTCTTAATTTTTTCTTACTTTGTCAAATTTAAAAAAGTCCAAGGAAAACCAGCAATTCTCTTCCTGCTCAGATTTTAATCTAAGATGGAGAAGGATTTAGAAACTTCTAAAGCTTTCCTCTCCTTTGAGGTGGGCTTTAAAAGAAGCCTCTGATTTCCTTTTCTGAATCTGACAGTGAAGAATTTCACTGGCACCTCAAATTTTGAAGTGGGGGCAGGGGAAGCTACTTCGGCAAAATCTGAGGGCAGAAGAATGTAGTCAGTCCCCCATGGGTCCTCCAGGCACCACAGCCCCAATCTGGATTGAATGCCCTGTGGTTTAGTTTTCAAAAGGGAAATGAACAAACAAATAAATAAATAAAGATGGTAGATAATTTAAGCAAATACTTTAAAGTGCAGCATCAGTGAAATGTGCCACTCAAAGTCTGAGCCTCAGTATTTTTAAAAAGGGAATACAGTAGAATCAATACAGTGGTACCTTGGGTTACAGATGCTTCAGGTTACAGACTCCGCTAACCCAGAAATAGTACCTCGGGTTAAGAACTTTGCTTCAGGATGAGAACAGAAATCGCACAGCGGCGGTGTGGTGACAGCAGGAGGCCCCATTAGCGAAAGTGGTACCTCAGGTTAAGAACAGTTTCAGGTTAAGAACGGACCTCCAGAACGAATTAAGTTCTTAACCCAAGGTACCACTGTATTCCTAAGTCTCATTTGTTAAAACTATCTTCTTTATAGAATAAAAGGTCCCGATATGGGATGGGCTAAAATTTCATTAAATAAGTAAGTATCAGCTCCATCAGTGGGAGAGGTGAAATGCTGAGCCACCACCACTGGCTCTGCTGTGACAGGCCAGCCCCATTAGGCCTGCTCTCCCCTCAGCTGTCATCTGGAGGCATTCATTGCCCCAGACTGCCTCAGTGGGAGAGACAGGAAGCAGAAGACTCACTCCACCACATTTGTGAAGAGCCCAGCTCCATCAGGCACCTCCTGCCCCTGAACTGGGCCAACTGGGCATTAGAGGAGCAACTGTTTAAAGACTAGTGCCTGAGCTTTGGTTTTGATTTTCCTCTTCCCTCCCTGTCCCCTTTTCCTTGTGTGTTGTGGGGTTTCAGGTTGTAAGCCTGCAGGAAGCCTCTTTTGCTGAAGAGAGGGGTACAAGTGCTCTAAATAAAACAAACAAACAAAATGTTTAAAAGCCATGTGGTTAGAACCATTAACTAAATTAACCCCCTCCCCCACTTCTTATTACTTGTGTGGTGGCATGAACACTGTGGACATGGAACAGAAGGAAAATAATTTCTATCTGGCCGTGCCTTTTTGCGTATGTTGGCATTCTATTCAAACTGCAGACAAGAAAATGCAAATCGAAGAACAACAATAACAACAAAGGCCCACCCCATTTCCAGCACCATGTGACAATCCCCTTGCTTGCAAGTCCTACTGATTTTTGTAAACTGAATTCATCTATGCCACATCTAATCATTTGCATTTACTGATAACCAAGGTAATGAATTTTCATAACCTCCCCCCGCCACACTTCTCGCCTTGCCCAAACAGGTATAAGTTGTTGCTATAAAAATATTCACTTGGTATGTTTTGACATCTTATGCTGACAACGAGTATTTTCATGGTTTATTAACTTTCTATTGTCTGACCTCTGAATTTCCTCTGTGAATGTAAAGCAGTTGGAGGGGGGGGCATTCCTTTTCCTGCAATTTCCCACAACCAGCAAGAAGAAACAAATCATAATAAACTCTACCTGCCGCACAGAGAAAAATTCTCCCTGGTCTTTTTCAAGTATGTTTAAGTATTTTTAAAATTAAATTTGTGACAATGAAACCTTTTCTGACCACAGATCTTGAATCTTTTTTGGGCTGAGTGGGGCACTTGAGACAAACATTCTACATGCAGTAGGTAAAATGAGCAGGATTGAAGGTTATAATCCATTGAATGTGCCTCTGGAGGAATTAAAAGATTCTGCTTTTAGAGTGTAAAGGGTTTGTATGTTTTGAACCATGACCAATCCCTGTTATCTTACCCCCGGTGCAGATGCTCAACTGACCTCAGAAACCAATGGTGATTTGCCAAGCCATAAAAAACTTTTCTTTCCAAGCCAACTGCTCACTCTGAACAATTTTTTGCCTTTACCAGCTTAATCTGGTGTCTAACCACAAGCTGATCTGTCACCATGCCTCCAGCCCTTGATTCATGTTTGCTTGATTTGGTACCCAACCTCTGGGACATCCATGACCATGCATTCTGCCTTGGGACCCATCTGACCAGCACCTGCCTATCTGTGTCAAACTCAGATTTTACAGATGCCTGTTGCAAAGTTAAGCCGGGACTAACAGTGTTAATACCATCTCAGTGTCATAGGGACAAAGCATTCCATCTATCACCTCCTTTTGCCAGAACTCCTCAGATAACTGAGCACTTAGCAGAACTGTGTTTTAATTCTGAATTAATTAATTAATTAACATTGAAAGCTTCACTGTTTATGTGGCTCAGGACGTTAAGGCATCAGATCCTTTTGTATAAACAATGATTTGCCCCAGTTGCATAAACAAGTGATGCAATGGAAGGGCGGGGTCTGCTTGGTTTTAGCAACAACAAAAGGGGTGCAGAATTCCCCCACCACCTCCACACAGGCTGATCTCACTTTGTGGGTAGTGTTTGCTTAACCAGAGCAATACCAGCAGCACTGACTCCAGGTTTGAAGGAGTCCTGAGGAAAGTGTCATGCAGTGGCCCCTCCTCTGCATCGGTGGACCCTGGCGAGCTTACTTGGTAGTGGAGAGCAACACTTTTCTGAGTAGTGCAAGATGGTAGCATCTAGTTCCCATTGCAACTTATGAAGCAATGCTACACTGGGGCACCATAGGGAATTAAAAATTGGATCTAAACTTTAAATGAGCCAGAGCAGGCATCAGCAGTTTTTACTGGAACCCTGGCAACTGCTCAAGGATGCCATTTTAGACCTTGATATCAAAAGTGCATTTGGTTGGCAGAGAGGAGCTGCAGGGCATCAAGGATCAGGCAGGGGGAGAGTTCTACACTCCTTACCCACCTGCCATTCCTCCCCCCCCCAAAAAAAAAATTGGACCATGCATCTTTCACTTTCTCCATGATTGTGACAGGTCTATTTTGAACCTGCCCAAGCTTTAAAGATTTGCCCCAGATTAGCCCCATCCTTGAACTGATTTGGGACAAGATCCAGGTTGGACTAGGTGTTTCTGGGATCAACCCAGGTCAGTTGTGGCCAATCTGGGGCCTCAGATCAGGTTGGAGTGTATGCTCCTAACAGTAGTTTGGCTGTGATGGAGCAACCAAGTCAAGATGTCCTCTTGGAAGGGGAATAGGAAGCACCAGTTGCTCATAGAATCACGGGGGCCGGAGCATCTTCTGCTCCACATCAAATTATCATTCTAGAGTCACTGAGGGACTTCTCAGAAAGCAGGAGGAGATCACACACACACAAACACACCATTCTGAAATGCAGAAGATAGACAAGACTTGGAAAAGCTGATCCAGGCTAATTGCTGACCATCACACATCTAACATCAACGCAAAATGCAGAACCAAGCTTACAACACACCCTGGCACTTATATTCTCTCTTAAGAATAGCCCCCTCTGTATATCACATATTTGTGTGATCTCATTTACTTAAAGAACTTGAAGGCTTTTTACACAGGGAGATCATGGATATAAGTGTTTTTAAAGATGTTGAACAACATAGGGCCCAGGACAGGCAGAAACAAACAAACAAACAAACAAACAAATAAATAAATAAGCAAGTTATAGTTCCATAGCTCCCCTGCATACAAAAATAAAAAATTAGGAAAAAATCTCCGTGCGCTTCAAATGAATTTTTTTTCCAGGCCCAGCATGTTTTGAAACAGGTCCTTCTTTGCGGGCATATTTTAAGCAGCGATTCTCACCGAATGAATGGGACGCTGTCAATTTCACTGCAAGCACCTGAAGTCTCTCTCTCTACACCCCTGCCTTTTGTGTATTTGCCAGTTTTGTGGTTGCTTTCCTTCTCTGCATGCAGCTGCTGCATTTGCATTGACAACTGGAAAACAAGCGTGTGATCCTCAGGGAGCCAGATTGTTCCCTAGGAGCCTCCAGTTGCTGAACCCTATCCTAGCGCTTTGCACTATGCATTTCAGACTTATTAGGGATCAATAAAGAACGGCCAGCAAAAAAAAAAGGTCTGCAAAGGACAGCATGCACATTAGCCATCTTGCCCTAGGGCTGTTTTGGGCAGTGCTGTTCCTCTGCTGTTTCATCCAGTGCTATGCTGAAATCTGTCCTCCGGTTTCTCGAAGGTTTTATTCCCCTGCAAAAGCAACTTCGTTTTTTCTGT